TTGGATGGTGGTTTCACAGGACACGTGCCAGCTGCCAGCTGGATGACTTTTACTCCATGTGACAGCCCCAGTGACCACTGGGGCCATTCTCTCAACTCTTGCTCCCTCAAGGTAAAAAAGGAAATGTGAATGGTCTCAGGATGATTCTCAAACAGCCAGTCATGGAGTGACAGGGCACTCCAAGTACTGAAAGATGTTGCTGTCCTTCCTCCTCTGCCCCAGAGCTGAGACTCCTGCATCCCCCTCCCCCTGTCCAGTCCACCCTCTAAGCACAGGTCATCATCCCTGCGCTGACATGTCCTCTGCCTCTGCCTCCCCACTGCCTGAGACCAGGCTGGGCGCCTCAACCTGGACCTCAAGACTGGCAGTCTCTAGATGCAGGTTATCAGATCTTCATCTTGGGCACACACCCACTAGCCATCTCCACAGTGCCACAGGATAGGTCACCCCTGTTCTGTCTCTAGCTCCTGCAAGACCCAGAAGAGTCCAACTCCTCTGCAAGGCCTTTCTCCAAAGCTGGTCCCATTTGTGAACTCCTGCAGTACACAGTGTTTACATTGTCCGCTAGGCTTTCCACTGTTTTAAAGATCCTTGTGTGTTCGCACATCTGAGTTTTAACCCTGGGGATCTAGGACTTATTTTAGGACAGTGCTGCCCAACAGAAACATAATGTGAGCTGTGGATGCAAGTCCCATATGTAATTGCATTTTTTGGTAGCCACATTTAAACATAGGTAAAATTAGGGCTGTGGCTGTGGCTCAGTGGTAGAGCACCTGCCTAGCATGTGCGAGGCACTGGGTTAGATTCTTAGCACCACATAAAAACAAATAAAATAAAGTCCATTGACAACTAAAACATGTTTTAAAAAAATAAAAATAGGTAAAATTAAAATATATTATTGCCAGACTCTGTAGTGCCTGTAATCTCTGTGACTTGGGAAGTTGAGGCAGGAGGATTGCAAGTTTGAGGCCAATCTCAGCAACTTAGCAAGGTCTGTCTCAAAAAAATAAAAATAGGGCTGGGGTTGTGGCTCAATGGTAGCATACTTGCCTGGCATGTATGAGGCACTAGGTTTGATTCTCAGCATCTTAAAAGAAAACTTAAAAGAAAACAACTTAAAAGAAAAATCTTAAAAATAAATAAATAAAAATAAAAAGGACTGGAGTTGTAGCTCACTAATAGAGAGGCCCTGGATTCAATTCCCATCAATGCAAAACAAAACACACACACACACGCACACACACACACACACACACACACACACATATGTCTATATTTTATTTAAATTAGCATCTCCAACACATTGTTTGAACAACATGAATAGGTATCAATGAGATGTCTTGCAAGCTTTCTGCATCCACTGTGTATCACAGTTTGGCACATCTTCCTGGGGACCAGGCCACAGTTGGAGGCCCAGTCACCCTCCGTGGCCAGTGGCTGTCCTGTGCACAGCCGAGTGTCAGCACTGGGTGACTGTGCGATGCACATGAAGAATGCTGCCACCGAGCAGGGTCTGGCACAAGCTTCTGCCCTCCTCTCTGTCCTTCCTGCTCATCGTGCTCTTGGGGACTTTGCTGGGCAGTGGTCAAGTGTCTACTCCAGGGCTGTGCGGTCAGTAGGATGCTGTGCACCTACACACTGCCCATCCCATAGCTTTTAAACCACAATGAATGGAACATCTGTGGAGTCTAAGAAGCCTCACATTCAGCTGTCCACTCTCCCACCGAACACAGTATGAACATGAAAGTCCAGCTCGGGCTCCTTCTCTGGACTTTGGTTTCATCTTCTGTAAGTGGGGTGGTCACACAGGCCTCAAGAGCACTGGAGGAGAAAACGAGGTGCTGCCTTGGAAATCACACCTTCACCGCTGTCACTACCACCACAGAGGCGAATCCATTCATTGGTTTGGATGAGCTCATTCTGGGAAAGACAAGTATCAAACTAGATTGAAGAACCAAGGTTCAGAAGACCTTTTCCAACAGGATAAGATGCAATATTCACAAATCAAAGTATTACATTCAGGGTCTAAACATCCAGCCACACAAAAATAAGTTTCAGACTAACTGTAGCCTATTGGAACAGAGATATTTATGAATTTGCCTAAATATAACTAGGAACAAAATTATTTAAACACCTTTTTATTTTGTTACAATCTTCATATAGACATGCAAAGGGCGCAGGAGGATGTAAAGGACGGTTGGAGCCTCTCTTGGAACTGCTGAGCCACTGCAGACTTGCTCTTCTGTGCCCTTCAGAATCCTGTGCCCAAACAAGAAGACGTCACTCATCCCTTCTGAGCCTTAATGCGTGTGGGCAGGGACAGCTACTCCCCTGTACAGCCTACTTGGGAAGGGGTGAAGTTGGATTAAAGTTCACTATTATTCAGAAGTGGATGTGTTAACTCCGAACTTTGATTTTAGACTTCAAAAGGAGTAGGTGAACAGGGTGGCACCGGAGTCCTTCGGTGCCACCAGGAGGGCAGACAGATCTGGGATCTCTCCCGTGGGCACTGCCTCTCAGGACAGCTGCTCACACTGGTCCTGCCTGGGGGAGTGGTCAGGGAGGCAGAGGACAGAGGTGGCTGCAGGACCACAGGAGCAGGATGTAAGGATGTGCAACCTGAAGAAGGGACGTGGCAGGTGAGGGACTGGTTGCCAAGGGGGCAGGCACAGTCATTGGGGCAACCTCTGTAACCAGGGTTCTGTTACTTGAGCAGCACATTTGACTAAGTAAAAACTTCTGTGGAGGTGAGGAGAGGTAATAAATGCTAAATTGGAAGCCTCCTCCGGGGGCAATATTATTTCTGAAATTAGAAAAGTTGGACATTTTAATGGGCTTCTCTGAGTCTGCCCCTCCAATCATGTTCAATGTTTAAGGAACAGCTGGTGTATGCAGGACAGAAATCATTGCTCTGCTTCTAAAAGGCCCTCGTTCCTTATCCCAGAGCTACTGTCTGTATCTTTGAGCCTGGTAGTACTGCTTGGCACAGAGACTGTGGAGGAGGGAGGGAGGTAGGAGGGAGCCAGGAGGGCGGGCAGGAGTGAGTGGCCTTCSTCTGCAGGTTGCCTTCCCTTCTATTTCACAGGCTCTCCCAGCTTTGACATTCCACTTCTCGAGAGTCCTCTATCCCACTGTCCCATCAATCCCCCTGTTCCTACTTCTTCTGCAGGCTAAAGGTGTGTTCCATGTGTTCTCATCCTAGGTCCTGCACCAAGTGGAAAATGACCAACGCAGACCAGAAAGTGAGCATCTCTGTGGCAGGTGCCATTCAATGTCCTCAGCTCCAAAGAGTATGTTCACAGGGACTTTCACTGTTTTCCAGGTTCTTRTGCTCTAACTGCCACCTAAGTAACAGTGGTAGGGTGCTTGCCTAGCAGGTGCAAGGCCTTGGGTTTGATCCACAGCACACCCAAAAATGAATAGAAATTTCTACAGAATTTTTGTGGCACTGGTTAAAACTATTGGTTTAAACCTGAACAATTACGCAACAGCACGCTAAATATAAATAAATAAATAAAAGGGATGTTGACTGCCAGTCCTCATGGATGTCAAAATATTTAGTGTGCTGTTGCGTAATTGTTCAGGTTTATACCAATAGTTTTAACCAGTGCCACAAAAATTCTGTAGAAATTTCTATTCATTTTGGGTGTGATGTTGATATCAATATATATCTACCCCACTGAGTACACTCCAGAATTGTGAGGCTATCATCTACACTGTCCTTGTTCCTTCTGTCCGGACACTGGGATCTTATGCTGTTACCCAGCTGGCCCTACCCCTGCTTCCCCATTCTCTGGGGGATGGGCTTCCAGGTGTTTTGAAGTAGCTTCGAAGACCCACACCTCCTACCAGCCAACTGGAGTGATTCTGCTAGGTGCTGCAAGGTGACAATGGAAGGGATTCCCACTAGGGTGTGGATGGCAGGTCAGAATGCTTCCTGTCCTTCCCCTCCTTCACTCCCACGCGGGCCAGCTAAACAGGTGAATGGATGAATACCAGATGTTTAGAAAGGCAACTAGGTAATTACTGGAAATTCTGGCTAAGGGTGGGGTGGGAATCCTGAGTGCCCTCAAATCTCTCTTTCTGGGATGGAAATGCTCACACCCAGTCTTCTCCATCCCTAGGGTCCATTCTGCAGGACCTAGGGTCATTTTTAGACCTTGGTTCTGGCTGGGCTCAAAGTCCTTCAGGACTAGACAGTGCTTTTATGTTGGGTGTCCGAAGCTCTCAGCACACTTTGTAATTATGCTCCTACTGAATGCATTTAGGACAATCAAGTCCCTTTATAATTAGGCCCCACAATCATGGGCACTCAAGGCAGACTGTATGCTGCCGCGGTTTTTCACCAGCAGCTGGGCGGCAGCCCCCCTTCCTCGCCTTCCCTGCCTCTCACCTGGCTATAACTGCCTGTCACTTTTACTCTTCCTGGAAGGGGCASAGCCTCTCTCCTCTCCTTTGCTGTGACGTGCTGTTTATTTTTGCCGGAGTTGACAGTTTCTGAGAGTTAATTTCTTCCCGCATTTCCTCACATTTCAATTACAATTACTCTCCTGTTCATGGCAGGACTGAAAGAATGTTTGCTGGTGTCCTGGAATTCCCAGAGTCCTGGCTGCTGCGGTGCGGGGACACTGCCATCTGTCAGAGGTCCAGCGAGCCCGTCCGAAGTATCCCTGCTTGCTCCCCTGACGTCCAGCCCGCACTCCCGCACCAGCGGCCTCCTGGGTCAGACCTGGAGCTGGGGCCCAAGCAGTCACCAGCAGCTTGCGGGCTGATCCGGGAGGAGCGGGGCGGGGTCCGGGCTGCGGGCGAGCTGGACACTGGGCGGGGTGCGCCGAGGCGGCGCGGGGCTGGACCAGGGGTGGGCGGAGGGTGGGGCCGCCGCCGAGACCAGCCGGGTTGCGGGGCGGGCACGGGGGCGGGGCCAGGYGGGGCGGGACGGGGCGGGGACCTCGGGCGCCCGGGCCTCGGCCAGGCGGCAGCGCGTGGCCGGCCACGACGGGATGAGCGGGGCTGGGGCGGCGGGCGCGGCAGGCGCGGCGCGGGGGCTGCGGGTGGACGGGCTCCCTCCGCTGCCCAAGAGCCTGAGCGGGCTKCTTCGCTCGGCGGCGGGCGGCGCGGCGGGCAGCTGGCGACACCTGGAGCGGCTGTACGCGCAGAAGTCGCGCATCCAGGACGAGCTGAGCCGCGGGGGCGCGGGCGGCCGCGGGGCGCGGGCGGCGGGGCCGCGCGCCAAGCCGCCCAACCTGGACGCCGCGCTGGCGCTGCTACGCAGGGAGATGGTAAGGGTCTGCGGGGCGCGGGCGCCGTCGGCCCGGCCGTCGAGGGAGGTGGCCCCGCCGCCCGGAAATCCRCGCCCCTCTCGCGTGTCCCCTCTGCCCACGGAAGACGCGCGCCGGAGGGGCGGCTTTTGGAGGGTAGCCTTCGTGGTGCGGCGCGAGGCTCGCCCTGGAGGCGTGGTGGCCTAGGGTCGGGGGCTGCGCAGTGGGGGACAGTTCCGGAAGGCGGGGGTGGTGCGGCCCGGGCCCTCCCCTGCGCCGGTCCCTAATCCGATTAGCCGGCGGCAGCCGGGGGCSGCAGTTGGAGGCGCGGCGCGGAGTCTGCAGACCCGAGGTTGTGGTGGTCCTACCGTCGGGGCGGAGGCCGGTGCTTCCTCGGGTGGTGTCGGGCCCGCAACAACCGGATTTAGTTTTTCTCAGACCTGGAAAGTGTAATAGGTTTTAGTGGTACAGGGTGACCACGAAAGCAGAGTAGAGATTTGGGGCAAGGAATCTCACCCTAAGCTCTCTGTCCCAGGCTTAGCCAGAGGAACTGGGACAGAAAACTCCCTCCTTTCTAATCCTCTGCCCGCCCCTCTGGTCTGTTCTTACCTCAGTCCAGTGTTCCCTCTCTTGAGCCAGGTTTCCAAAGACTGAATTTGCCAAAAAGTTGTTAGAGGAATCTTTAAGTAAGCATCTGATGTATTTAACATTTTGCTCAGGAGAGTTGAATTTATGCATAGTTTCCCAGGAGCATGTCTGTTCTGAAAAGGCTTAACTGAATTCAGAAAGCAACCTTAGCACATTGTAATCAACTAGATATTGTCCCACTCTGCAGCTGGCAYTGAAGTGATTTCTGATTCTAAAGATTCCCTAAGCTTTTTACTGAACACTTGTGTTCCACACCAACCACTTTCATTTATTAACAGACATTAAGTGACACTGGTATGACTGCATTTTAATGAGACATAGGGGCACCTCTGTGTTTACAGCCTGAACTGTCACTTAGCAAAGCCCCTGGGTTAAAGGAAGACCCACCCTGGTGTTGAAGTTCCTTTCTTGAATGGGAGGCAGGAAAGGCTCAGGGCCACTCCTCTTTAAAGCTCTGGTTTGTAAACATGCTCCCAGGGGAGTCATGCTGTGGTGGCTTGGGAGCCCACTGGCCATTCTGGAAAGTACTTTCCAGGTCCCTCCTGGTGTGACTGAAGTACAACTCAACCTCATGATTATGCCTTGGACCAGAGCTCCTCTCCTAATGAACAGCTCTCTCTAGTCTGTCTGATATTTAGCTATGATTAGGTTAGGTATTTCAAGAAATGTCAGAAGGTCTTTAAAAGTACTGTCTTGGGAGCTTTTAAAGAGGTTTACTGACCTGGGGCAGTGGGGTCCCAATGGCCGACTCATGCTAAGGCTCCACTGGGGAGTTCTTGCCAAACAAGAAAGGGAGTTCACTCCTGAATCATCTGCAGAATGTCTGTGTTGATCCATTTAATTTGAAGGCCTGAGGTCAAAGCTGTGACAAAGGACATAATTGGATGTCTTGGGAGAATGTGACCAAATGCTTGAGGGAAAAGCCCCTTGCAAGCACAGAAAGGAGGTGGAGGTTGGGGAATGGAGAGGGCTTCTTTTCAGGAGGATTGCAGCCCTGGAGGTGTGGGGGGCCTGGCCACAGGGGAGAGGAGCCCCAGGAAGGTGGCAGTAAGCTGGCACTTGTGAGCTGCAGTTGGAGGAGAGAGTGCTCAGAAGCAGGAGGGCACCCTCCTGGCTGCACTTGGAGGGTGCAGGAGGCTGAGCTAATCCTGGGAGGCTCCTGGGGAGATGGCTCAGGTGTGCATAGGAGGGTTGACTTCTACCAGAAAACAATTCTGTGGGAACCACTATTTGGAAGCAGAAGCTGCAGGAATTGCAGATAAAGTGTTAGGGTCTGGAAAGGTGATAAAAAGGAACCAAAGATGACAAGCTTTTTAATGGAAAGTGTAGTTAAGCAAAACAATGAAAAATTACAGTCATAGCACTGATTGATGATTGTTGCTAATATTTTGGGATATCGCCTGTATAGGTAAAATATTAGTGCTTTCTGTACATTGTTTTCCTACTCGATCCATATAATTTTCCATAGAATTGGTACTTAAAGTCTATTTTATATTAAAAAGAAGAAATGAGGTGCTAACCCTACTTCCCATAAGCTCACAGGTCCCTTTAGGTCTGCAGGGCTCCAAGGCCCTGTTTAATTGTGGTATTGTACTGTCCACACACTAGGATCACCTTGTGCTCGCCAGTGTGTTTTGGGAGGTACCTTTTGCAAACATTCACCAGGCCACATCTTTGTATGGCAGCAGTAGGAGCCACTTGAACCTTGGAACGCACCGCTCCCAGGGATAGTTTGGAGGAGTGGCTGCTTCTTTTTTTTTTTTTTGTTGTTGTTGTTTTTAGATACTTTTATTTCTTCAAATTTGTTATTTATCAGGAGTGACTGAAATAAAAAATTTTCTGGGGAAAGGTGGCAGGCCATTGTGTCAGTGTGTTAGGCGTTTGAGAGTTTCCGTGTGGAGCTGGAGGTGCAAGGGAAGACCTAGGCCTGGGTATTGCTGAAGAACTGGTGGCGGCTGAGTGAGCAAATGAAATCTCAGAGGAGAGACAGGGATGCCGTGGGTGGAGCCTGGGGAGCTGGTTCCTGGGCTGAGAAGGTAGGGCTCGCCTGAGTGGCAGAGGGCTCTGACCCATGCTGGGTGACACCTTGAGCTGCTCAGGGTGGTGGTTTCTGCTCCAAGTTCCACCACTCCCTGTTCCAGCTATCTTACATCTGTGACTTCTCTATCACTGAGACATTGAGCTGTCCAGAAGGACCCATTTGGAAAGCTTTAAGGGCCAAATGGTTGCTGCCCTATAACAGCAATAACTGAAAAGACACTCTGGAAAATATTTGCTGTTATTTTTACACTAGAGAATATTTTAGGTCACTTTCAACATGTCACTGGGTGAATGTCTATAAGGTACTCTGGAAGATTTGAGGACACGTTAAAGAGCCTCTGACACCTGGTGGTATGGCATCTTTATGGCAATGTGGTGAAGACTCTAATAATAATAGAACTGCAACCTGCACTAGCTTTTGAAAAAGGAGAGTCTTATGAAAGGTCTGGACGTGTTCAGAGAAAGACTGGACCCGCTATCCACTGAGGTGTTCTCTTCGCCTCCCCCTGCTACTGTAGTTCTTCCTCTGGAACCTGACCCTTGACAATGTCCATGGTCAGTTTTGGCCACAGTTTAGGACAGGACCATGTGGACAGGACAGGATACTGCATAGGACCAGTTTGTACAAGCTGCAATAGGACGTGAGGCAGCCTGGACAGCCTGGGCCAGCTGCGAGGAATGAGGCCAGGAGGGGATGTTCTTAATGGAAGCTGTGTGGACAGGACCATGTGGACAGGACTGTGTGGACAGGACTGGGTACTGGGCTATGTGGACAGGACTATGTAGACAGGACTGTATGACAGGTCTGAGGACTGGGCATTCCCCAAAGATAGGCCCTCAGATRAGGTCATAGGAATATAATCTGAAGATTTGAGGCTCCAAAGGATTGAAAAGCTTCTCTGTGCCTCTGTACACTCGTGTCTGCTCCCTCCCCACCTGTAGGGTACTGGACAGTCTGCTCCTGGATTCACAGCCTTCCCCCTTTCTGCCACATGTCAGGGTCACAGTGCTCCCAACAGCCACAGCCCAGCCTGCGCTGGTTCTGATGGGTGTTGCTGTAGCTCTCTGGGGTCAGGTGGGCAAGGATATTTAGAGCAGGCTGGAGGAGGGAACCCTGGCCTTCCTGGGTCACACCCACCATGCAGCAGCAGGACCAACATGAACTTCACAAGACACCGACTCCCTCTGAGAAGCCATTTTCACAATCCCATGGGGGAAACTGCACATGTACACTGCAGACCTCGTGAGCAGGCAGCCAGCCCTGAGGCTGGCGGCAGAGGTCTGCCCCTTTCCAGTGCCACCCTTTAGCAAGAGTCCCACCTCCATCTGCACTTTCCCGTGAAGATTGTGGGTTCCTTCCGTGCTCCTACCTGCAGATGCTCAACACTGGGATTGTCCTTGAGGTGGTGCTCTGCCTCAGATGCTGGAGGCAGGAAGTCCCTAAGCCTGCCTTACTGGCTACAGCATTCACTAAGACATGTGGCCTATTCTGTTTTGGGGAATACTGTGTTCCCTTCCTTGATTGGTCCTAAGAGCCACAGATGGCCTGTCTTGCAGTTGTGGGCGTTCTGAATYTCCATTTGTGTGTGTTGCAGGGAAGGGCCTGGGGAGCAGGGAGAGTATTTGTCCTCTGACCAGAGCTCCCCAGTTGAGGRGGGTGAGCTCTGGGACTGCAGAATGCCTGGCCTGTCCCTGCCAGTAGCCCATATGCCAAGGGAGAAGGTGATGAGGGAGGGAGAGGATGGGGACCGGATGACTGGAGATTAGAAATGCAGAGAAGGGTGTCTGGCATGTTCCTGAGTGCTTGACTAGATTGATGAGACGGGTGAACAAAAGTCTTGTTTTTATTTCCAATAAGGTCAACACTGACAAGTATGACCTATATAACCACAGGAGGGTCTTTGGGACCCTCAGTTGTAGTTAGAATTGGAGGTAAAATACCCAAGTTAAACAGGAGGACATTTAAATCCCTTGCTATCTGTACATCTGAAGTTTGTTACTATAGCACATCATGTACCTGAAGAAGGGACTTAAGAGAATGATCACAGTGACCTGAGGGTTGGAGAGATGGGCCTCACATTCTATTGTGAAGGGCAGTTTTGTAAAACTTAGGAAACTGAGTGTGTGCCCTTTAATTTCATTTCCTTTTAAAGCCCTAAAGTGGCTTCTACTGAATAGCAAGTCAGAGTTGCAAGGGGGCTTTAAATATGGGTAACTGGGGTCTGTAGCACAATTACCTTGTCTTCCTGCTACCTGTGGACTCTTCCATCAGCAGGGACATACGGTTGCCCTGGGATTAAGAGTGGTCTAGGTCCATTGGCCTGATCAGTGGG